GCTGATGATGTGACTGTATACCAATAAATGAAGAGAATAATGATTTTTTTTGAGTTAAAAAGGTAATTTTCTAAGAAGGCATAGAAATCAAGAATTTTTCTCTGTAAACATCTAATAATTTGTATGCAGTTCTTTTGGAATTACATGAAATCTCAATGATTGTTTTTTAATTTATGCGAAATGACTTTAAACTCCATATGGAAAAATAAATGCCTAAGTATCTAGATAAGAAAAATATGAAAAAGAAAATTTCATACCAAATGTCAGACTATAACATGAAGTCATTCTAATCAAATTAATATAGTATTGGCAAAAGAGCAGATAAATGCATCAGAGGAACAAAACAGAAAATACTGAATAGAACTCAGTGTATATGAGCTTTTTCATGTATGGAAAAAGTGCAATTTCAAACCATAGATGAAAGAAATTGTTAATTTAAAAAGGCTTCTGGCAAAACTGGCTTTTTTAACCAGGCAGAAAGTAAAGTTGAACCAACAGCACAAATCATATGAAAAAAAAAATTCCAGGTGGACTCAGGGTTTAAATTTTTCAATAACAATAAAATTCTTGAAAGAAAATGAAAGGAGACTACATGTACACAATCTAGGAACTGGGGATTAACTTTATCCACACAGGCAATGGAAAAGCTGTTAAAAAAAGTAATTGACTGTATTTCTCCTTTGCATGGCAAAAGATGCCATCAGCAGCCAATACATAAACAATGATTTAGGGAAAATATTTGCAGAGCCAATCAGAGAAAAAGTCTTCTTGAAACTGACAGGAAAAAGATAACAGCAAAACATGGCAAAGAATGTGAATAGACAGTTGAGAGAAGAGCAAATTCAAGTGGCTGATGGCTCTATCAAAAAATGTTTAACTTCAGTAGTTGTTGAGGGATGCACATTAAAATTGTAATGAGAACAGTATGCAATTAGGCTGACAAAAAAGAGCAGGAATGCTTTTTGTTGTCAGAACAAAGGATATTCTTAGACACTGCTCATAGAAACTGTGAATTGTTACAGTGCTTTTGAGAATTAGTCTGGCAATATCTATTATAACTTAAAATACTTACACCACTTTGGGGAATCTTCTCTTAGAAGTAAAACCCCGGTACATGAAAGACATGTCCATTTATTGTGAAATTATCCCTAGTGGCAAAAAAAACCAAAACACTAGAGTCAAAATAAATGCACATTGGTAGGGAAATTGGAAGAGGGAAGGAACTTTAGTATCAATTCCATAGGATGTTTACATAGCCATTAAGGTGGACAAGTTAAAGGTGGGGAGGGCATAGCTCAGTGGTCGAGTGCGAGCATGCACGAGGTCCTGGGTTCAATCCCCAGTACTTACACAGAAAAATAAATAAATATATAAACAAACAAACAAACAAACACACCTAATTACCTTCCCCCCCAAAAAAGAAAAAAAGGTAGACAAGTTAAAACTACGCTAATGGACTTGAATGGAATTCCGCAATGTTTTCTTGAGTGAAAAAAGAAAAGTGGAAGTGTGTAAAATATGACTTTTTGTAAATCAGTTATAAAATGACTGTAGGTGTTTGAGTGAACATGTATCATACATGTTGGTGTAAGATTTTACATGCATGGAGAAAAGTATAGAAGAGTATGCATTGGGCTGGGGGGAGATGGGTGATGCAGGTGGGTAACTGGGGAGTCAGAGAAGGAAAATGAAAACCCAGAAGAAAAAATATGTAAGTAACTGAACCAAGTATGATATGTCAAGTGTGTGATTAAGAAATTTGACAGGGAAGCTAGAACTCTACTAATTTGTGGAGATATTTCTGGTATGTTGTTAAGTGAAAAACAAATCAAATAATGTATATGAATCTATTTTTTTAAATTAAAACCTGTATGTGTATATATGCATGTGTATGTTTATATGAACAAAGAAAATTGTGGAAGGAAATAAAAAATTTGTTAACACTGGTTATGCTGGTAAGAAAGGGAAATATATAAGTAGTTGTTTATTTTATACATATTTGTATTGTTTTACTTGTTGCAAACATATTACTTTTGTAATTTGAAAAACAAAATAAGGAGTGGGGAAAGCATTTTGAAATACATGAAACCTTGCAAATGTTTTTATTTTCTGACAAGATGGCACGCTGGCCTGATCTATTGCCTTTCCCTTAGCTCGGTACTTGGAATATCACCAGAGTAAAAGAATATGTGTAGATCTAAAGAGCAAAAGGAAATACTTAGAACCCCTCAAGTAGAGAGATGTTCTGGTTTTATTTTGAAATAATTTTTGATTTATGAGAAAGTTGCATTTTCCATTATAGCTTATTACAAGATATTGAATATGGTTCCCTTTGCTATACAGTGGGTCCTTGTTGTTTGTCTGTTTTGTATGTGGTGGTGTGTATCTATTAATCCCAAACTCCTATTTTATCCCTCCCCTCCCCCTTTTCCCCTTTGGTAACTGTAGTTTGTTTTCTGTGTCCATGAGTCTAGTTCTGGTTTGTAAATAAAATTTGTATTTTTCTTTAGATACAAAAAAAAAAAAGTTGCAAAACAGTTCCCAAATACTCTTCCAAAAGCTTCCCCTAATATTAATATCTTATATAACCATAGTATAATTATCAAAACGGGGAAATTAGCATTGATACACTAGTAGTTAAACTATAGCCCTTCCCACTGATCCTCTTCATCAAGTCCAAGATCCAGTTCAGCTCCCACATTGCATTTACCTGTTATTTCTCTTGAGTATCCTCCAGTCTATGACAGTTCCTAAGTCTTTTCTTGTCTTTCATGACTTACCCACTTTTGAACAATACTGGCCAGTTATTTTGTAGAATATCCCTCAGTCTGGATTTGATTCAGTGGGTTATGCATTAATATTACAGAAGTGATTCAGCTTCAGTGCATCATATCAGAGGGCACATGTGATAAATCTTATTGGTGATGTTAACCTCGATCATTTGGTTAAGGTGCGCAGTGTCAGATCTCCCCACTCTAAAGCTGAGATTTCTGCCTTTGTAGTTAAATATCTCTGGCAAGATACTTTGCAGAGAGGTTTTTTTTCCTTCAATACATATTAGCCCCATAGATTCTGTATGATTAGCTCTGGCAGAGGGTTTAAGCATCCTCAGTAATTCTGATGGTCAGACAAGGGTGGACCTCTGATATGAATCACATCCCTAATCATTAGCTCTGAACAAAGCAACCTCCTCACAGGACAGATATTAATGAGAAACAATTATGACATTTGCTAACACTCATCTTTAGCTTTGGTAACCTAAGTATGTTAGTTATCTAGTGCTACCTAACAAATTATCACAAATTGAGTAGCTTAAACCAACATACATTTGTTCTCTCACAGTTTCTGTGAGTCAGGAGTCCAGACACAGTTTAGCTGGGTCCTCTGGTTCAGGGTCTCACAAGGCCACAGTCAAGGTGTTGGTCAGAACAGTGCTTTCATCTGATCCTCAACTAGGGAAGGATCTGCTTCCAAGATCACATGGTTGTTGGCAGAACTCAGTTCCTTGTGAAATTTTGGATTTTAGGGTCTCCATTTCATGCTGGCTATGGGCCAGAGGCTACGTTCAGTTCCTTGCCACATGGGCCTCTCCAAAGTACAGCTCACAATGTAGCAGCTAACTTCACATCAGGGAAAGAGTCTGCTTCCAATACAGAAGTAACACTCATGTAATATCGTGCAAGTGACATCCTGTCACCTTTGCTGTATTCTATTGGTTAGAAGCAAGTCACAGGTCCCAGCTACATTCAAGAAGAGGAAATTATACAAGAGGAATCCCCTTTCCAGACTTCTAGGAGGTATAAATCATTGGGGGCCATCTTAGAGCCTACCCACTTTGCCAGGAAAATAGAATTGAAAAGTAGGAAGAATTCAGGAAGGTGATGTGCTGCGACAGAGATCTGAGTGAGCCACAGGTTCTAGATGTGCTCACTGGGAGTTCTTGAACACTAATTAGAAGTAATATATCCATTGAGCCACAAGTGCATAACAAGTGCTTACCATGAACCACACACTGCTCTTTGCACTGGAGTACAACAGCAGACAGAAAGGGAAACTGATCATTGTCAATGAGCAAGAAATGAACAGGGAAAGAGTACATAAAATAGTAGAAGGGGAGTAAAATTTTAGATATAGAAAGCCAGAAAGGCTTCAAAAGGAAGCTATGCACAAGGACCGGAAGAAAGTCAGGGACCTAATAATGCTTATGTCCACAAAAGACTTCCAGGCGGAGGAAACAGCAAATGCAAAGACTCTAAAATAGGGAGTGTGCCTGGAATGTTGGCGACCAGCAAGACACTGTATTATCTATTGCTAAATAACAAATTACCCCCAAATTTACCTACCTAAGCCAACAATAAACATTATTTCACATAGTGCCTATGGGTCAGATAGGAATTGCCACTGGAGCTTCTTTCCCCCCGCCCTGCCCCTTCCCAAATCTTTGTCCACCCAGGGCCTCTTTACCCACCCCAGCAAGCCAGAGCCCAAGTGCCTTTTGCACTTACCGGAAGATAGCCCCTTGCTACGGCCTCTCTGGTTTCCCCACCAGAAGCGGACTAGCTGCTTGACACCTCCTCCAAAATGTCAGCGCTTAGAGAAACCGGTTGCAGGGCGCCACCATCTTCCTCATGACCAATACCACGTCGATTATCAGGAGAAGCTGGCGGCTGCTTTGCTGCAGAAGTGGCAGTGCCAGAGCTGGGGTCCCCGCGAAAAGGATGGGAACAAGTCAGTGTCAATTTTCTATTGCAACAAGGACAGCCCAAAACTCT